TACCAAGAGAGTTAATTTTTTTTTTTTTTTGGCTTTTTGGGTCACAACTGGCGATGCACAGGGGTTACTCCTGGCTCTGCACTCAGGAATTACTCCTGGCAGTGCTCCGGGACCATATGGGAAGCTGGGGATCATACCCGGGGTTGCCGTGTGCAAGGCAAATGCCCTACCCGCTGTGCTATCACTCCAGCCCCAAATTTTTAAAAAAAATTTAATTCAATCACCATGAACTACACTCATGGTCAAGTGGTGCAAATGCTGGCCGACTTTGACCGTGAGTGTGGAAAGGTAGGACTACAGCTGAATCTTACGAAGACAATGTTTATGAGAAACAGCCTTGTTCCTGACGCCCCATTCGCTCTCAATGGAACGACCATCTCCAAATGCAACAGCTATGTGTACCTAGGTCGAGAGGTCAACATGACAAATGACCTGGCACCCGAGCTGCGCAGGAGGAAGAGAGCGGCTTGGAACGCCTTCAAGAACCTCGAAGAAATAGCTAAGAGGACGAAGAACCTCCGGCTCCGGGCACATCTCTTTGATTCCACTGTTCTTCCTGCATTAACATATGCCTCAGAGACCGGGACCCTAAGCAAACAGGATGAGAATGCTATTCAGAAGAACTGAAAGAGCTATGCTTGGAATATCACATTTCACTCAAAAGAGAGAAAGAATCTGGAGTTCCGACATCCATCCACGATAAAAAATCAGGGACTCTGTCTCATTTGCCAAGGTGTCAAAAATCAGATGGGCTGGTCACGTAATGAGATTTAAAGACGACCGCTGGACTAGAGCTGTTACTGACTGGATTCCACGGGATGTCAAAAGACCGCGTGGCCGCCCACCTACCAGATGGTCAGTCTCTTCATGTTCCCAGAGCGAACAGATTCCATTGGGCTACACTAGCACGCGACAGGGACAAATGGAGACGTTACTGGCACCCACTCGAGCAAATCGACGAATAACGGGAAGTTAAGTGATTAAGTGATTAAGTGACCATGAACTACAGTTACAAAGCTTTCATGTTTGAGTTTCATTTTTACAATGATCAAATACCCATCCCTCCACCAGTGTACATTTTCCATCACCAATGTCCCAGTATCCCTAACCCCCAGGTCTCACCCCTCCCCTTGCTTCTCTGGCAGACAACTGTCCTCTTACTCTCTGTCTCCGTCTCTCTACTTATGGGCATTATGGTTTGCAATATTGTGTAAACACACACAAAAGGACAGGCAAAAGGACGGCAGTGGCCTATCTCTCTCACCACCTGCGTTCAGTAGTCTCAGGCTGTTTCCCCACTCCAGGGAGGTCGATGGCGATGGGCAGGCAAAGGAAGGAAACGAGGGCCAGGCTGGTTGGTCTTAGTAGCAATTTATTACATGGAAGAGATGTATGTCATGGAGTCCCCAGGATCTCTCAAGCACTTGCTCCCCGTTCTCTCAGCTTATGTCCCCGTTCTCTCAGACCTGTCTCTTAGATTCTCTCAGCACATCTTCCCAGGTTCTCTAAAGCACGTGTCCCCCAGAGAGCCCTGAAATCTCCCTTATATAGATCATGGTACCTCTAAAGGGCACAATACAGTGATGTCATCAAAAGGAGTTACAGAAAGAACATTGAGGCAGCAAAACATACATTGTTTCTATACATCTGCAGGCCACTAATCTTGGCCTCCAGAAAGAAGATACAAAACCAAGACTGAAACCTTTCACAAGCACTTTCACAAGCTACAAGCACTTGGAGTTACATCCCCAAGACCAATCTGCTAGAGCTTGGAATCTACATCCCAAAGACAAGTACCTGAGCTTTGCATCCCAAAGATTAGCCTGCCTGGAGCGAGGAATCTACACCCCAAAGATCAGGCCTGGCTAGCACCTGAGATTACTGAGAGAAAAGGGAAACTGTTTCTTGCATTATACAGAAATTATTTACTGAAGGCAGTTTGAAGGGGAGAAATGTTCAGTCTCATCCAAGCTAGTCAGGATACATGGGAAGGCTGCTTCTAGGACAGATTCTCATTTAGCAGATCAACTCACCCTGGAACAGATTTCCCTGGGTGTGTTTCTCCTCTCCTTGTCTGACCAACATATAAGCATACATAATATAAATAATTTTGTATGGACACAGTAAGAAATACTTTAGGCTTAGAGAATTGCTCTCCTAGGGCCATCTTGATCTCAGACTGCAGTGCTCAGGCCAGATATCTTTCCTATTCTTAGCAGGGTCCTAGTCTCGTCATTACTTTTGGATCATGACAGCATTTGCCTATGATCAAACTCTTAACCTAAAGTTAAGAATCATGGCACCTTGGCCTGGTCCATCTCGATGCCAGCGTAGCACATAACTTACTGGGTTGCCCTGGTTCCATCCAGTTCCACATTGGGGCCCTGCTTTTGGGGTGCTGGAAGTGAGGGCAACTGAGGCTTAAGTTGAGAAAGCAGATGCCCGGGAGTGAATAATATTCAAAGCCAATTAAATCCTAAGTTACAAAGCATAATATTAATTGTCTTCCTGTATCTATACAAAAAGGACATTGCATTAAAGTAAACTATTCAAGACATAATGAGAGGAGAAAGGCAATATTAACTTACAATACAAGTTCAGTGTCTTAGAAGGATGAGACCTTACAAATTGGTTGGGGAAGAGAGCACAAAGAAGTAGCTACAGACATAGTAATGGGAATGACTCGGGAGCACTGTGATGGGTGTAACCCAACAAACCTAAGCTCCTTGTACTCCAACACAATATAGATTACAGATAATAAGAGGCCATCATGTTTGGTCCTTTGTCTACTTTCATCACACATCTCCCATTCCGAACAATTTCCCCAATCATCATTGATTTAGTGATCCCTTCTCTATCCCTGCTGCCTTCTCCCCCAGCAGGCTTCTAACTGTGGAGTAATCTTCCTAGCCTTGTCTCTACTGTCCTTGGGCATTAGTCTCGTATTATAATATTTTATATTCACAAATAAGTGCCATCATTCTACATCTGTCCATCTCTTTCTGACTCATTTCACTTAGCATATACTATCTATGACCTTCCACTTACAAGAATATTTCATGACTTCATCTTTCCTAACAGCTGCATAGTATTCCATTGTGTAGATGTACCAAAGTTTCTTTAACCAGCTGTCTATTATCGGGCAGTATTTTCCAGATTCTGGCTATTGTGAACAGTGCTGCAATGAACATACAGGTGCAGATGTCATTTCTACTGTGCTTTTTTTGCAAAAACAATTAATGAAATGAATAAAATCATATATCAGCATATATTGATATAGGATCATATTTATGTATTTTCATACAATTATATACATATACATATTATGAAATTTTAAAAAGTTCCAAATGTAATTGGTCTGTTTCCTCTGGCAGCATTATTCTATTCCTTGGCAGATAAATATAGGATCTGGGGCCAGGATTTTAGAAGACTTTGCTCTCTTTTGTGTGGACAGGATTTTCTTATATTTTGTGTCATGGTTCTAGTTTTTCATCTTCACCCATAGCACAGTGGGTAGGGCGTTTGCCTTGCACGCAGCCAACATGGCCGAGTTCGATTCCTCCGCCCCCTCGGAGAGCCCGGCAAGCTACCGAGAGCATTTGATATGCCAGACACAGTAACAGCAAAGTCTCCAATGGAGACGTTACTGGGCCCGCTCGAGCAAATCGATGATCAACGGGACGGCCTTTACTTTTACCCAATCCCTACCCTAGAGACCTCCTGATCTTCTTTGGATATTCATTCATATAGTTACCTTCTTCTGAGAGCATTTATCCCTTCCTATTTTCCAGATGATTTTATGAGTTTCTATGGATGTCAGAGTAAAAGTCAGTTTCTCAGAGGGAATCGCAGAAGACAATTTGAAATATAGCCCCAAAGTTCCCTGTGCCAGAATTCATCATTAGCTTCTCTCCCCCAAACTTTGTGCAGGTTTTGTGAACTGGAGTTCCTTTTTTATTTCATGAAAATTGGATGTTGGATGTTGGTCTGCAGTGGAGACCTGAGCACTGTACATTAAACCTCATAACTGTGATGATAGGGAATCACATCTTAAACCCTTTTGCCATCAGATGTTTTTCTTAGCTGTGAAAAACCCTTTGAATTTTTTAGTGGTGGTGTTTGGTATTGTGGGGCATGGGTGCCCTCCCAGGCATAATCTCAGATAATCCCCCGCCTCACCCTTGGAATGTTTTGTCTGTTCCTTGGTGGTTCCTGTGTTTCGTGGTTTTTAGGTCCCTCTGCACTCCTGACCTTCAGAGAAATTACTCTCTATAGGAATCCTACTGCTTGCAATCATGGTATGGGTCTGAGAAGAAACAACAGTGAAGGTAATTTTAAATTCCAGAAATTTCTGTAGGGGTAACAGAAATTGACATTTTCTGTAGCATCAGAGAACTACCCAAAATGGCCATAAAGGAGAGTTCACACAAAACACACACCAATGAAGGAGCAATAGCCAACTTTATTAATCAGTATCTTGCTTTTACTACATGTTTCTACTTAAATATGCTTATGAAAAAAACAAAAACCCAATTAATGGGAAGAAAAAACTAGTTCAGTTTATTTACAAACCACATTGTTAGTAAATTATTTTAAAAAATAGTAACTGATTTATTTTGTATACTTTCACAGAAAGGGAGGACAGGAAGAAAAGAATACACAAATCTCTTTCCAGATGACCCATAAAAACCAGATACTCATCAATGTCATTAGCTGTTTTAATAATCATAAAACATTTAGTTTTAAGCATAAGAAGATAATGTGGAAATTAATTCACTGCATGGATCTTTGAAACCATCAGAGTGTTAATTCCAAAAACTTTTCATATTAAGCAACCTGAGCTGCATATCCCGCTTTCAATCATACCAATCTCTGGGCAGAGAGGATGGAAGTGGATTTGGACTGCTTTGAGGCTTGGGGGGTAAGGGGGTTGAGATTTAAATCCTTTTATAAGTGGAAAGCAAATAGTATCCTTGCATAGTGAATCCTTGCTTAGTGAATCACTTTAACTTTGGTGTTAGTTTTTTATTCAAGGAGGATGCCATGGTGTCTGTCTGCTTTTCCTTCTCATCAGGGTTGTCCAACATCATTAATCTTTTCTCTAGTCTCTGTTTCCATTCTTCTCTGAGCCTAGGGAGTAAAGCAATATGCATGATTAGGTGGTGCATAGTTAAATCCTTCATAGATGTAATATGCAGAAATATTAGGATATACATGAATTAATCCATCTGGCAATAGGAAGGGACCACATGAATTTGGTGCCACAGACCTAACCAATGACAGCACTTTGTTATGGTTGCTACCCAAATATGATGAACTTTGGCTCTACAATTGCGGCCAGATAATGGCAAATGCAGACTCCTACAAGCTACAAGGATCAACTTGCTGAAAATCTGTATTTGGATACCCAGGACAATCCTCGACTGCTCCTCAGGCAAACACTTCCAGCTGTGGCTCAGGGAAGCTATAACTCTGTGTAATAGTAACTACAGAACGCCTGCAACCACAAATTTCCAAGGGCCATGCAGGTCTACACAACCTAAGAGTTGCAGGCACTGCTCAATTTTCAAAAGTGAGACGTAGGTCAGCTTATACTTGCATCCTTTTAATCCTAAGAGAGCACCTGGCACAATGAAAAGAGGAGAAATTGAGCAATATTTATAGATGGGGGCAAAAGTCCAGGAAGGTTCTCAAGTATATTTACTTATTCATAACTTTCCAAGGAGGAAAACTTAAAAGCAACAATGCCATCAATGTTAAATGGAACTAAGAAATCAGTGGAAGAGAACATAAATAAACTCAGGGAAAGTTTGAGAGTATTAAAAATTAAAGCTTCTCAAACAGAAATAAGTAAGCTAAAGGGAATATTAGCGTAGTTCAAAATAAACAATATAAAACAAAACCCAAAATCACTACCTGGAATTGGCAGTAGAATAGAATTAGCTGTAACTCAAATTACATGGTGCTGGACATCATTAATAAGGAACAAGAAACAGAAAAAGAAGTAAAAATCATGAAGAGAACACAAGATATCAGTACTCTCTTGTAACAGTACTAAGAAAAATTTCTATATCACAGAAATTCCAAAAGTGGAAAGGGCAAATCATTGATGAAAGAAACAATAGCTGAAACCTTCCAGTCTAAAGGGTGGCAGGGGTGCTTTAGAAATCACAGAGTTATAAATAAAATTTTAAAAATCATATGATGAGCATTTTTTTCATGTGACTGTTGGCCATCCATTGGTCTTATTTAGAGAAAGTCCCTGTTCGCTTCTTCTTTCCACTTTTATGGGTTATTATTATTTTTTCTTATTCCTGTTGATCTTTGTGAATACTCTATATATCCCTTGGAGATATTTATCTAATGTGTTGACCACAAATATTTTCTCCCATTCAGTTAGTTGTCTTTTAGATTTAGCCCATGTTTTTTTCTAAAAATTAAAAATTTTTTAATGAATCACCATGATGTCCAGTTACAGACTTACGAACTTTCATGATTACATTTCAGTCATAAAATGATCGAGTATCCACCCTTCCACCAGTATATATTTTCCACCACCAATGTTCCCAGTATCCCTTGTACCACACCCACCCCGTCCCCCTCACCTGCCTCTGTGGCAGGCACACTCCCTTTCTCTCTCTCTCTCCCTCTCTCTCTCTCTCTCTCTCTCTCTCTCTCTCTCTCTCTCTCTCTCATTTTGGTGTTATGGTTTGCAGTGCAGGTAGTAATTAGCCAACATATTTGGTCTATAGTCTACTTTCAACACACATCTCCCATCCCAAGCGAGCCATCCGGGCATCATTCACTTAGTGGTCCCTTCTCTATCCCAGCTGCCTTTTCCCCCAGCATGTGTGGCTGCCTTCCAATCCTTCTGTCCCTTATCGCTATTACCCTTGGATGTTAGTCTCTCATTTTGTTTCTTTATATTCCACAAATGAGTGCAGTATTCTATGTCTGTCCTCTCTTTGTGACTCATTTCACTTAGCATGATAATATCCATGTTGATTCACTTATATGAAAATTTCATGATTTCATATTTTCTAACCGCTACATAGTATTCCATTGTGTAGATGTACCAAAGTTTCTTTAACCAGTCATCTGTACTCAGCACTTGGGGTGTTTCAAGGTTCTGGCTATTGTAAATAGTGCTGCAATAAACATACAAATGCAGATGTTGTTTCTACCGTACTTTTTTTTCATCTCCGGAATATATTCCTAGAAGTAGTATTGCTGGGTCAAATGGGAGCTCAATTTCAAATTTTTTGAGAAATGCCTATACTGTTTTCCAAAAGGGCTAAACCAGTCGGCATTCCCACCAGCAGTGAAGGAGAGTCCCTTTTTCCCCACATCCACACCAACACTGGTTGCTTTTGTTCTTTTGGATGTGGGCCAGTCTCTGTGGTGTGAGATGATATCTCATTGTTGTTTTGATCTGCATCTTCCTAATGATTAGTGATGAAGAACATTTTCTCATGTGCCAATTAGCCATTCAGATTTCTTCTTTGAAAAAGTTTCTATTCATTTCATCACCCCATTTTCTGATGGGGTTGGATGTTTTCTTCTTGTAGGGTTCAACCAGTACCTTGTATATCTTTGATATTAACCCCTTATCAGAAGGGTATTGGGTGAATATCTTTTCCCATTCTGTAGACTTTGCATTCTTGTCACTGTTTCTTTTGATGTACAGACACTTCTTAGTTTAAGATAGTCCCATTTCTTTATCTTTGTTTCCATTTGCTTGGTCAGGGGCATTTCGTCTTGGAAGATATCTTTAGCTTCAATATCTTGGAGAGTTTTGCTGACATTTTCTTCAGTGTATCTTATGGATTCTGGTCTGATGTTGAGGTTTTTAATCCATTTTGATATGACTTTTGTGCATGATGTTATGTGGAGATCTGAGTCCTTTATTTGCATGTTCAGTTTTGCAACACCATTTGCTAAAGAGACTTTTCTTGCTCCGCTTCACATTTCTTACTCCCTTATCAAAGATTAGATGATCATATATTTGAGGGTGTGTTGTAAGGATATTAAATCCTATTCCACTGGTCTGTGGATCTGTCTTTGTTCCAATACCGTGTTGTTTAAATTACTACTACTTTGTAGTACAATTTGAAGTTGGGAAAGGTGATGCCTCCCATCTTTATTTGCCCAAGAATTGCTTTACCTATTCGTGGGCACTTGTTTTTCCATATGAATTTCGGGAGTGTTTGATGAATTTCTTTGAAGAATGTTGTGGGTACCCGTATAGGGATTGCATTGAATCTGTACAATGCTTTGGTGAGTATTGCCATTTTGACAATGATAGTTCTCATAATCCATGAGCATGGGATTTGTTTCCATTTTAGTGTCCTCTTTTTCATTTCTTGAAATAACATTTTGCTTTTTTCTTTGTACAGGTTCTTTACCTTCTTGGTTAAGCTGATTCTGAGGTACTTGATTTTCTGAGACATGATTTTTTTCATGTCATTTTCTTCTCTCTCATTATTTGCATATAGGAAAACCATGGACTTTTGGGTATTTGATTTTATAGCCTGCAACTTTACTATACAAGTGTATTATTTCTAGGAGCTTCTTGGTAGAGGCTTTTGGGTTTCTAAATGTAGTATCATACCATATGAGAATAGAGAGATAATGCTTGCCATAGACTTGTGGTAGATGGTTTTGACTATATTGAGGAAAGTTCTTTCAATTTCCATTTTGGTGAGATTTTTCATCATAAAAGGGTGCTGGATCTTTTCAAATGCTTTCTCTGTATCTATTGATATGATCATATGGTTTTTATCTTTTCTTTTATTGATATGGTGGATTATGTTGATTGACTTGCGAATGTTAAACCATCTTTGTATCCCTGGAATGAATCTCACTTGGTCATGGTGTATGATCTTTTTGATGAGTTTTTGAATTCTACTTGCTAATATTTTGGTTGAGGATCTTCATATCTGTCTTTATCCAGGATATCAGCCTGTAATTTTCTTTTTTCTGTGGTGTCTCTGTTTTTGGTATTAGGGTGATATGTACCTCATAGAAACTCTTTGGGAGTGTTTGTTTTTCTTCGATTTCCTGGAAAAGCTGAAAAAGGACTGGCAATTGGTGTTGGGGAACAGTTTTCCCCTCAATAGTGCCCAGACATGTTGCGCACTGGGTCAGGGCAGATGTGGGGCAAAGGATAACAGGTGCACGAAGAAGCACCCTCCAGGAGCAGCTGATGGCTGTTCACCTCTTTGCCAAATACACACATATTTTATAGGGGCTCATGGCTTAAGAGGATGGTCCAATCACAGAAAGTTTAACATTATTGGCTTATAACCTCTTTAAGTATGCTTTGCCCTGGTCCAATCCCAATCAAGGCTAGATGCTGCAGTTAGGATGACTTGCTAAGCATACATGACAGTTTCTGTGCCTAGGGCTCATGTGACTAGGAGGTTGAGTGAGGCTCAAGGCCAAACACCAGGTGCTGACTGACACCCTGCTCTTGCCAACTTTGCTCAGATACTCTCTCTCGTGAGGCTTTGCTTCTGGTCTGCTCTGCAAGGTCAAGTTTTATCTGCACCAGTGTCTGTCACCATGCTCCACAAATAGTTCCTCTTTAAATGTTTGGAAGAATTCGCTAGTGAAACTATCTGGACCTGGGATTTTGTTTTTGGGAAGATTTTGGTTACTGTTTCAATTTCCTTGATAGTAATAGATCTGTTCAGGTATTCCAAATCTTGTTGGCTCAACCTTGGGAGGTTATGGGAATTCAGGAATTTTACCATTTCTTCTTGGTTTTCTTGTCTCGTGGCATACAGACTTTCAAAGCAATCTCTGAGGATCTTTTGAATTTCTTTAGTTTCTGTTGTGATGCCCCCCTTCTCATTTCTGATTTGGTTTATTAGGGTTATCTCTCTCTCTCTTCCTTTGTAGTCTTGCTAGTCGTTTATCAATCTTATTTATTTTCTCAAAGAACAACCTCTTGGTTTCATTGATATTTTGGAATGTTTTTTGGGTTTCCATGTCATTAAGTTCTGCTCTAAGTTTTATTATTTCCTTCCTCCTGCTTCGTTGGGGCTCCTTTTGTTGGTCCTTTTCTAAGATCTTGAGCTATGAGATCAATTTATTTATGTGGGCCCTTTCTTCCTTCCTGAGAAATG